AAGGTGCACAGTTCAGTACTGCAGAGCTTTACCTTTGGTGGACGGAGCAGTGTTATCTTAAACATAGCTATGGCACCGCAAATAACGATATTGGATGCAACTGTACTCTCAGACAAACTGGAATGGTTGTGCCACATTAGACATGATTTTGTGAAGTACTTTTTCCCTTACTTGGCATGTTCCCATATTGGTGGTAAATGTTATGAACATCAAATTTAACCAGATAATTTTACATAGTGTCTGCAGACTGTGACTCAGCCACTTCTGGTTTCACAGATGTTATCAAAGTCTGTATATGTTATGTGTAAAGCTGTGAGATGAAGTTCCTATTTTGTATTGTAACTGAACTATGATGCTCGAGAACTGAGTCAGTGGACAGAAATTCTCATGAAAGAATAAACATAGTCATTTACCATTTACGATAGAGAATTCAACTTCTCATTGGTTTATTAGGTAAGTTATACATTTTGAGTTATGAATTTGTTTTTATTGCAAAGAGTGTGTTTTGATGTTGGTTTTGGCAGCCGTAATTATGAAGAATGGTATCTCCTGGGCTTTGGTTCTGTATAGTCTGGTAAAAGTTCGTTTCAGAGGGATGTACAGCCTCCAGCTTCAGGGATAAGTAAAATAGCTGATTACCTGCTTGGTTTAATCTTCAACCATAAAAACTGAGGCAGTATGTTTCTTCAAAACTCTGCTGAGCTTCTGCTAAACTACATGTTGTTACACTGCAGAAGACAACTCTTAATGGCATCACAACCCAGAAGGTAATACCATTAATGTGTTGTTAGGTATTTACTACTACAGTTCATGGATAAAGTACATGGAACTTGTATTTAGTATAGTAAATCCTCATTAGAATGCACCCAGATATAACAGACACAATCTGGCCAGGTACAGTTGTGTATTTTTAGAGATGTTTAGGTACAAGGAAGGTTTTGTACTTAGAAAACTGTTTAAAATAAGAGAAGGAATACCATATAAAAACCTTTATATGTTCATGTGTGTTTTTATTTTTATGCATGGATTTGTTATTTTCAGTTTCCCGTAGATCGAATGATAAGTATCAGTGTTCACTCTACTCCTGCTTTATTAAGACACAGAAATTTGATACAGAAGTATGCCTTATATACACATAATAATATAAAGATATTGTTGTTACACATGTAACTGTAGTTACACATAACAGTAAACATCACTTAGGTAACAAGAAATAACCTAGTTCTTAAATTGTTTACTATGATGTTGCCAACTCTAACATATTTCAGTATTTGAGAGTTGCCAACATAACAGGATTAGCTGTGTATCCTACTGTGTAGTTCAGTGAATACCTCTTCACTCTCATACAGTAAACATCAGCAATATCATACACCGTTCCCCTATTAGCTTCTTATAGTGAGTGTTTACTGAGGTCCACAGTACACAAATACAGCATTTTTAGACCACTGTCAGCACAAGTATTAACTTCAAATTTCTGAACACATTATTTATATTAGTGGGTTTTATGCTTTATATTGGCATCACAAATGAAACTTATTTCATTGGTGCTGGTGGTGGTAGTAATAGTAGTAACCATGAAATTTTGCAATTATTTATAATAATATTTTATTCATTAATAATTGTAGGAAGACAGACTCAGTAATAAAAACATATCATTGCACCTGTGGAGTCAGGAATTTATTGAACTGGAATCCTAAAATCTCCATTTCATCCTTTTCAAGTGGTTCAGTCTGAACATGCCTTTGATTATCTGTTATACGTAATGGAACACCTTTTATGTACCCAAATCATGTTGATTGTGTGCATGTTCTATGAGGGAGCAGTACATTTACACTTGTGGTAGCATAAGTGATGGAGATTCCAGACATCATCAATTCACCTAGCATGGTTAATGTTGAACAGGTTACTGGCAATGCTCTGGATTTGTATTCAGGAGGTTCTATGTTCAATTTTTGGCAAAAGCATTAATTCTAACGAGGTCTTCATGGTTCTTAGCCCCTCTAATGAAATTCTGCAATAGTACATTGGTTATTCTATGCGAGTTTCGTTCTTAATCACTTCCAGTTCGTTGTCCTGCTCGTTAGTGGTATGTAATCTATACACAGCATCATGAATCACAAAAAAGAAGTGCTCTAACTGTGGCAGGTAATGTCTGGGATACGCAATGATTGGGTAATGATATTCGCGGAGTTCCTTTTCAACACAATACGAGCAGCAACAAGTCACCCATCATCATTACTGCAATAAAGAAAAGCAGGCAACCTTCAACGGAATATCAAAATTAAAATCGTCCAAGCAAAATAGCACGCGCTATGAACACCGTTCAAATATACTCGACTACAACCAACTAAATGGGGACATACATATACTAACGGTATAAAAATTTATGCCTCAGGCAGACTGTGAACCGGTCGTAGGTTGAGTGGATTCTACATTTACATCTGAAGTTAGGTTACGTTTCCGTTCGCCAAATGGTTTCACCCTGAACATAATAGCTCAATATTCCTAGAGTTCAAAAATACACACCCATAACCTAACTAACCGAACTTTCAACAAAGTTACACAAATCACGCCTCTTTCCCGTCGCGGATTATTAAATGCGACTCCGATGATATTGTAATACGTTTAGTAATCCGTGACCATTACATGCCAAAAGATGTCAAGTCCGTCACTCTCATCCGTGATGTCAGCGGTGAGGCATAGATGTCACTAACGTCACTATACTACATGCTGGCTGGACATTGCTTAGGCCTTTTTTATACAATCTGCAATTATTTTTACAACAAAAAAATCGTTTACATAAATGTTACGTGAAGATACAGAATGACTTGGATTTTTTATTAGACGTTTATTCGAGGTGAGTTTCAATATAAAATAATTTGGAAAAAGCTCGATACGAGTGTTTCTTAAGTTATTACGCAGCTGTGAGCTGTATAAGTAACAACAACAAAGATTGTTTACAGTATCACTAAATATATTTAAGTGTAATATGAAATTCAATAAAAAGTAAACCTAACCTAACTGCCAAGGCATGGAAAAATTATGCATGTGCCTCAAAGCGACTAGGGAGCCAATGCAAAAGGAACAGTAATAAAGATATGAGAGAGAGAAAAAAAAAAGATTTCCGAAAGCAGGACAATAGACTAAAATCCTATTGGTTTGGGCATGGAGATAGCCGAGGAACAGAAGAATTCGGAGTGGAATACCGTCGACAGAAGGAGTAACAGAAAAGGAAAGAGGACTTCACCTGTGATAACTTCCCAAAACAGCCAAGCTCTAGAAAAGGAATACACTTGAGGAAACTTGCCAAAGATAAATAAACCAAATATCAGCAGAACAGACCTAATGGTTAATGAAGTAGAGATAAACGTAGCAAAAGGAACCGAGAACAATCAAGAGAAAAATTTAATACCGGAAGAAAGAAACTTAGAAATATGAGGGGGTGCTAGACACATTGGATATTGCTCCCTAAAATATGTCACAGATGCCCACTAAAATGAAGGAAAAAGAAATTAAGAGAGTAATGGCTAACAAGAGCGTAGGCTATACAGAAGCCAGGAGGATTTTCAACGGATGGAATCCACGTTGAACCAGCCACAACGTACACAACACCCATGCAGAAGGAACGCACATACATATTTACGATAACAATATATCATGACATATACCCAAGATGATATATTGCATATAATATTAAAACCGCGTAACAGCCCCAAAGTAATAGCGTCCATAAATATATTTAGTACAGCACAACCCACAGGCGAAATAACTTCCACAATGCGAGACACCTAAACGACGTGAACTCTCATGATCTATCACACAACACGGGAATTTCGACACTACGTGGGGAATTTTAACCTTGTATTCCATATTTTTCAACTAGTGTTCTAATATTTTCGGTTTATTTTAATTGTGTAACATTCTTTATTCTTAATATACAATATCTCTTTAACAAATTAATTACTTCCATATAATATTATCTGCTAATATTTTTAAATCCATAATTCCTTGTGTACTTCTAAAATTTTGATAAGGTTAATATATTGTAATTCTCACATTGTAAATTAAGGCGTAACTTTTATAGTAGGGATGCGTTGCACCAAATATGGATCCAGATTGGAGTTCAATTAACCTTAGTCGTATTATACGCGTAATACTACCTGAAGGTGGCCTCATAAGGACCGAAACATGTAGCGGTAATAAGTAAAATTCAATCTCAGTAATACTGATTGATTGAAAAATCATTGTTATTGTGTCGACGGATGACCTTGCTTAATTATATGTTTGTGACAACAGGATACGCACTGTGAAAACAAACTTTACGCCCATTGGAGGAAATGTTAAAAATGCAAAATTTATGGGAAGTCAAGGGACACAATAAATTCATAAACGATATTCCAAAATTTATATAAACATATAATAAGTAGAGAAATGGATATGGTGGATAAGACTAAACAGTAAATAAGGAAATTATAAAAGTATTAAAACTTGTTAATTCTAATTCAGAGCCTGAAGGTTGTATAGATATAGAACATAAGATTAAAGAGAGCAAATCCATCTGCTGGATATGAAGGTAACTCGTGTAAGACGTGGTTGGATGAAGCCTAACACATTTATTTGCGTACTTTTTGTGGCCTAATAAAAAATGTTCCATTGGCAGACAAATTTTAAGCTGTAGATAATAAATGTACACAATATACAGATGAAGTGTAACTGTGAAACGTGAAAGATTAATTTAAAATGATGTGGATAAGAAACAGAATTCTTACCTAGTACTGCGAATTAATTTACACGCCCTTTTAAAACTTTCAAATATTTGTACGAGATGGCAGAGCAATGGATAACATGCAACCTCGTCGTTAGTCGATTAGTAACGTCGCTCGATATCGATAGATTATAGGTATCGAATTGCGCACGATGTATGTTGATATCGATATATGGCGGCTAGGAGTACGCATGCGTTTGCCGTCATTAGTAGCGATTTGGAGTTGTGCGGTTTATGGGAGTTTGAAAGAGAAGCTGGAGAAGTGATGGTGTAATTGAGTGATGGAGGTTAAGGAACCTGTTGCTTGCCGTGGGCTAGTGTGTAGTGAAACATAATTTTTATGTGCTGTTTGCTGTTTGTGAAAACAATGGGTAGTTCATTTAGTACGAAAAGTGAATCTCCTCCTACAGAGGCTACTACTACGAAGACGAACAATGTTCGCTCCAGCATCCGCGCTAAACAGCCGATGCCCGATGCGAATGAACTGGAGAGAAGATTTACCAAAGTTTTGGCAAGTATTGATCAGAACTTGTTTGAATTTAATCGTTTCTCATACACTCGAATGGGAAAAATGTTCACAAGTAGTGCGTGATTGTACGCAAATGCGAGAGGTGTATGAAAACATGTGTCTCATAATTTGTTGCTCTGACTCGTAAAGAAGGTTAGGAGTTCCGAAGTAACTAAGACGTAATGAGTATGGCATGCGGTTGATGGGGCCCTAAGTATGAAGAAAAATTAAGAATTTGTTTCAGATTTGAATTCAATGAATGCCTTTGATAAAGTAACAGTTCCATTATGTTCTTATTGCTGTACGTTTGAGATTAAGCCGATCTTATCGTGTCAGGGGTAATCAGAAAATACGAGATGAGAATTTTGTCCTTTAGTCGTCGATGTAATGATTTAGTTGCCCGGTTTCATATGAGAGCTGTATTGTTAACCTGGTAGAAGAAGCTGTCGAGTTTGACATTGGTATGAAGTATATGTGTATTTTATTTGGCATTTGTCGTCGTAACTTGGTTGCTCAGCAGGGTTGATATTGTTAAAAAATATTTCAGTACAATTTTTAGCCAGCTTATCATGTTTTGAAAAATAAAATAAAAGGAGGCTTGTGAGACCAGCTTGCTGTCTGTGTGCCTCCCTTACGTTGTTAGGCAACGACCCGGTAAACACGTTCCCGCTGCAATGAATACACGCAACAATAGAAGTATTGGTAGACAGGGTGTTTTCTGTGCGGCCCATGTTATCAGACACTCTTTACATAGTGAAAGGAAAGTAGGTGATTAGTTCTTTCCAAACGTTCTTGTTTGCTGCTGCCATTAACTTAAAAACATGGAGGAAAACTCCGAATGTAGGACAGGCAGCGTCTGAAAAGGTGCTGTGTGTAGAAATAAAAAAGGTAAAGATGAAGTCGTCCCTGTGTGTACTTAAAGACCACGCCATGAAGACGTGTAGGGAAGAAGGGAAGAGTGGAGGTATAGCTCCACCATTCGTGATCTCGGCACTGGCTAGAAGTGAATGATCATTGATCACATTTACGCCTCGGCCGCATAAATGCTGTAGAAGGAGCCGCCGGTTCCCGTCGAACAGGAAGCGGGGTCAGCCCCAAAGCCGGTCAGGATGCTGTGGAGAAGAGAAAAATCTCTTGACCCTGCTGGGAATCTAAGCCTGGCCTTCCAGCCCGTAACCCGTCGCCATACCGGCTGAGATATGCCGACTAGAAATTTAAAACAAACCTGTGTGGATACCCAAACTGCACGTCACAAAATATTGTTTTTTTTTTTTAAGTTTCTTGGGGTGTTGGGTGAGACTGAGACCACTTGGTACGTCGGCACACACTGGCCTATTGTACCAATACCGGATGATAGATGATGAGTGTGGAGCAGTAGGTGGAATGAGAATTGGAAGAGGAAGCCAAAATACTCGGCGAATATGTGCCGCAGTGCCACTTTGTCCACCACAAATCCCACATGACCAGACCTGGGCGCGAAACCGGGCCGCCGCGGTCTGAAGCCAGCGACTAACCGCCTGTCCTATGGCACGTCTTTGCCACAAAATAAACTTTTAAAATCGTGAGAGGCAGTTGGTGTGTGCAGCATGTGAGAAATAAAGTATAAAGGTTCGGCCACACAGAGCGCGACGCACGCTACGTACGTAATGTTCGCTGCGTCGCAGAGTGTACACAGCGTACGTAGTGTACTTTGCGAACATAGCGTACCGCTCTGTGTGGCCGAACCTGAAGCCTAGTCCGAAGGTTTCAGTGAATGGGGTTCGAGGTACGAAGCCTGGGCAGTAATCGTTCAGTACTGACAAATTTCTTTGGCCCTATTTAATGCGTCCTTGTTTTGATGAATGATATAAATGACTGGCCTCAGTTTGTGCGTTCCCCTCTGTATGAGCTAAAAAAAAAATGGTAAATTTGTCCCTGTGCTTAACTAAGGCGTGCCATGAAGGCGTATGGCAGAGTGGATGTATAGATCCACGTTTTCTTGACTTCGGTAATAATTGGAGGTGAGTGCCCTGTGTGAGAGTGAATAGAAGGAAGCCATCGGTTTTACCCCATTTAACGCATATGCACAGAAGAGACTGGCTTGTTTTGATTGTTTTATTTAATATAAGTTTAACATTGTAGGCCTACAAATAGTAGATGAGCAAGTAAACGGCCTAGAAAGTTATGTAATTGTTATACTTCCCCTGCAACCACCTATATGGATGGCTTTGTAGCTCCGCAGTGGTATGTGTATGCCGTGCTTGCGTGTGCTCAGTGATGAACATATTAAGTAGAAATCAAATCATTCTCAAAATAAAGCGGTACGAGTCTTTCCTTCCGTTCTTCATTCCCCTGGGCGCTATAGCTCAGGTTGAGCTTTGGCTTCCTGAACAGTCTTCCTCAATTCTTCGCTACTCTTCATCTTTCCTCTATCCGAGGCTAATTATCTGGTTTCTGAGCATTTTAGCGTCACTCCCAACCCCCAGCCTGGAGGCCCAGGGTATCCATCTTCGTCTGGCTCCTACCCCTTCACCTGTCCGGCATGGGTGACCATACCAGTAGCTAAGCAACCGCCGGCATAGCTCTCAGGAGCACTCAAACCCCACCATCACAATAAGGTTGAGACACCATCGGTGGGGTTGTACGATTACTCGTTTGAAATTGTAGCCCCCCCCTTTTTATAAGAGTAAGCCTTCATGCTGTAAATTTTGAATGCAGTTTTACCCCGCTTTGGTTAGTGCGGATTAGACATATTTGTCTCTGCTGATTTTTTTTATTTAAACTTTACGTTTTTATCGAATTGTAAGACTTTATAGGTTCGCCAGACTTTTGTTTTTTCTTTTAACTCTAAAGTACAGATTAATGTCGCTGTGCTAAATTAATTAAACACCATGTCATGAAGATGTATGGGGGAGTGGAGGTATAGCTCCAACATTCTTGACTCTGGCACTAGATGGAGGTGAGTGGTTAGCTTCACTCTCCTGCTGCTTTATCTCCGGGGAAACAGCCCCATGTACCCACTGGATAAGAGGCTGGGTGAGCCCCAGAGTCTGTCTGGACGTGGAAAAGAGTAAGTTTGCACCTGCCGGGAATCAGACTCCGTTTCTTCAGCTCCGTAGCCCGTCGCTGTACCGACTGCTTGGCAAAAAAGGAAGGAAACTCTCTCTTGGTTAAGAAGAACCCAGCCATTCAGTGCTTTTAACACTGAGTCAAGTATATTTAATAGAGGAAAATTGTTTTGAGTGAATGAACACGAAAGAACCGTGAAATTTTTCGCAGAATGGAAGGTAAGAGGTTTGGCAGAAGAGATGAGAATGTCTGTAGCAGTATTAATAGTGTAAGATTTGAGGCTTTCACGGCGGTGACTATGAAGAAAGCAGTCCCTCCGAAACGTCGGTTAACACCACATATACACGGTGCCAAATCCCAGAAGACTGCTTTCTTCAGTATTAATAGTGTTCATGAAGTGGAATATATCCTGGCCGAAGGTTCACACCTTGCCTTTGTAGCCATTGTTTTGGAAAATGTGCACAGTACCATTAATCTGCGAGCTGTGTGTTACGCCCAAGGTAGCTTTAAACTAAGATGCTTTGAAGGTGATGGTATTTAAAATCCTGGCGTGTGACTTGGTCTCGGAAAATTTGCAGGCCGACTCAGGTTGCCTAATCACATGATTCTCCTCTTTGGGTTCAGACGCTGTATTTCTAGTTTAAATGTTTGTAAACAAAATATCAGGCCTAAATAATGCCGCAGAGGTCTGGTGACATTATTTCGTCTTACTTGCAAGATAGGTGTGTGTATGTTAATATACACAATGTAGTTTAGACTATAAAACTCTATTGTTTATATATTGATCGTGCGTATTGTCTTGTATTTATCAATACCTGCTACGTTGCTGTTTATATAATATTGTGATATACTTGTATGGCTTAGGGCGAGGGCACACTAAGGAAACTGGCAACCGCAACGCAACCGCAATTTCCGAGAATTGTTATCAGCCTGAGTTGAACACATGTTACTGAATGGAGCAGCGCAAATTGAGGAAACTGCGTTGCCGTTTCCTCGCCCTCGCCTTACTCTCTCGTTTCATGGAGATTTTGGATAACATAATTTTTGTGCAGACCACCTCTGTGGTCTAGTGGTCAGAGGCCCGGGTTCGATTCTCTGCGCTACCACATTTTCTGAGAAGTAGTGGGTCTGGAACGGGGTTCACTGAGCCTCGTGAGGATAATTGATGAGCTATTTCAAGGAAATAGCGGCTCCGGTCTAGAAAACCGAAATTAACGGCCTGGGGGATTCGTTGCGCTGACCACGCGACACACACTATCCGCCTAAGTTGGCACTAACTTCGCCGACAAGCGGCGGTCGCTCGGTCGATATAGTTCGCTTGCCGACTAAAACCACGGATTTTTTTCAATTTAAAATTCGTTTTACTGCGCTGGATGTTACAGATACTGCGCCATTGAAAGGACGTTAATAATATTCTAGGGTTTGAAGGCACAGTACATGCTGTTGAATTGATCAACACGTTTATCATGTGTGGGCATTAGTTTGTAAACACGCCTCATGTGACTGACCTGCTATGAGTTCGCTGCTGATAATGATGAAGCTTGTGTCCTACATAAAGTAATATAATTTATACAGGAAATTGCTGACGACACACGCCTAGGAAATACGGTGTTTTTTGACCCAGTTGTGACGCCGTAAGCCGGCCGGAAGTTACCCCAACTTAGTCTTGGCAAATTCGCAGCGTCATAAATTAAGTACCCTCTTACTGGACTGTTCTTCCGTGAGAGACGGGCATGAACTCCAAAGCGACAAGGTTTTGTGTAGTTAGGTGTAAGACTTCAGTCGAAAGGCCTTTGTAAGGTACGTTCAACGAAAATGGCTTTATATGCCTGGTATGTGACTCCCATTAAAAATAAATTTCATATCGATTTAAAAAGCAAAACGATTTTGCTGTGTAGGATAGGAGGTTCTCACAAAGGTGATTCTGAACAGTTTTGTCTTCTGTGCATAACGCT